TGGTTCTGAGGCACTTAAGAAGTTCTCTGGTGTAGGCCCAGGTGAGCCGTTGCCTATGCTCCACCCAGGGCCACCTATTAGGAGCTACAAAATGATTTGCTGTTGGTAACTGCTTGTGCTGGGCTTGTGGGTCCCTGTAAGAGGCTATGCTCTGAACCGAAACCTGCTGCCACTATTGCCAGGCAGGCTGGAGGCCACTTAGCAAGAAGTACATGGCACACCAAGGCCTGCCACTTTGTGTTTGGGGTTTGTGGACCTTTCAGATTTTAAGGAAGTCTAGAGTGATGGTGGCTGGCCACTTGTGAGGAACTGGTGCTGAAAGAGGTTTGGGCCTCTGTGTGAGTTGGGTGGGGCAGGGTTCTCAGGTAATCACCAGGGTGGGGTGAGGAGTGCTAGCCAGTTTGATGGAGACTCAGATATGGCACCAGCCTGTGCCTGCAGGATGGGTGGGTGGAGGGCTTAGAACAGGAACAGTGGCACCTGCCTGTACTTCTGTCTGGGAGAGAGCTGCCCCTCAAGCTATTACTCTAAAGCCAGATAATTTAGTTCCTCCCCGTATGTCCCTGGAGCTTTTCGAGCTGTTGCCCAAGTACTAGAGCTCAGAGTGAATGAGTCTATCATTAAGTCATTCCTGAGCCCTTTAAGAGGGTCCCTGGGATTCCAGCAGCCTCTGTCTCACTCAGCCACAATTTCCTCTGGTTTTCATAGCCAGGTGTTGTGGGATCTCCTCTTTCTGGCACTGGTGCTCTGGGCTGGGGAGCCCTGTGTAGGGCAGGGACCTCCAGATCATCTGTGGGGACTTTTGCAGCTGAAATATCCCTCCTGATTCTTTTATTTTTTACTGGTAGTAGTATGGTTTATTAAGCTGTGCCTTAGTACAGGCACTGGGGCTTGTCCATAATGCTCTTGATGTATAAAGCCCAAAGTTCTGCCAGTCCTTTTTGAGCAATGACACCAGGAAACTGACAGTGAAGTAGATGTACACAAGCTTATCATCTGTCATCTTCATATGGCCAACAGCCACTGCCAGACACTGACAGCATCTTCTCTTCATTTGAAACTTGATTGTGGATTTCACTTCATCAACTTTGGCCACCATGTTCTCATTCTGGATCAGCAAAGCGGGGAACTTGCCAGCCTTATTCAGGCCTGGGCCCAGGATTTGTGGGATCTGCTTGATGAGAGACTCTGAAGCCAAAAAGGCATTATACTCCTTGGCCAGCTTATTGACCAGTTTCTTACTCTTGATGTCCATGTTGGGGATATCCACAGCCTTAGCCTCGTCACAGTGCTGCTGGTCCCCCAGAACACATACTAAGAACTTGGAACAGGGAGTGTAATTAAGCCTGATGGGACCCTTTGTCCTTCTGAGGGTCATCGTTCTTCAAGATGATATGCAGCTCCACAGTCTCCAAAAACTTCCAACACTTGCGCTGGTTCCCATGCAGGACTTCCCGCACCACCTCGTAGAGGATGTCATGGGAGACATTGCTGCTCACGGTGCCTTGAGCCTCAAAAACTGGAAAAGAGCTCCCTCCCAATTCTCAACCACCACCTACGGGTTTGAGGCCAGCCTGTTTCACGTCTCTGCCCCTCCTACCAGTCTCGACATGGCTTTTTCTTTATATCCTTAATTATAGGAGTTATGTTCAACTAGACTTTAGGCAGTTCTCAAGGGTAGTTGTTCTATTGTAATTTTGAGGCAGTCATGGGAGGAGGCAAACACAGAGTTTACCTGCTCTACCATGTTGACTGGAAGTCCAAACTTTTCTTTTGTTCATTGGTGTTTCCTAATTTTTCCACAATAAACAATTATAGCTTCTGTAAAAAGAAAAAGTTTATTTTTTATTTAAAAAAAGAGAACCTTAGATTAGAGAATTCTTTCTGTCTCTAAAATCCCCCGATTTCATTACAGCTTTCAAATGTTGTTTTCTCTGGTTTCTTTTCTTTCTTTGGCTTCACGAAAGAATGATTTCATTCTCCCATGTGTTCACTGTAGGAACATTATGTTCCCTGAGGTCTGGGGTGTAGCCTGCAGCCAGGTCTGGGCAACTTGCAGTAAGGGGCATGCTGAGGGTCATGGGCCATGGGGCCTGGCCAGATGACACTAGGTGAGGAAGTTTTATGAAGCCTGGAGCAAGTCTTGCAGAGGGAGAAAGAAGCAGAGGAGTTTGGCAAAGGAAGTCAAGTTTCTTCTCTTCTTACTCTACTTCTCCCTAAAAGGAAGAAAACACTACAGCAGTCCAAGAAACCATCAGCCAGGATCCTTAGAGAGGTCAGAATCATTGAGAGAGATGCTAACCCAGGAGGTGGGAGTCTCAGCATTGAATTCCCTCTGGGCCTCATGGGAAAGAACCCGTTTCTTAGGTTAGGAGGTGAGACGAAGGGGCTCTGCAGGTGATTTTCTCAGGAGTTGGGCTAGTCTGGGTGCCTGTGACCTGGAGCCTGGGGGACATGGGATCCAAAACTCTCAGAATCTGGTGAGCAGCACTTTCTACCCAGACCCCAGGGGCTTTGTAACAAGAATCTCTGGAATCTGGGCAGATTGGATAAATGCTATTTTGAAGTAGCAAGAGAGCAGTTTATGACCCCATTCCTTATTATTATTATCTTGGTATTAAAAAGAATCTAACCACACAAAACCTCTTAACACTGCTATTCTAATCAACCTGTGTCCCGTCCCTTCTTTCTCACAGCTCTGAGGCTGTTCATGCCAGGGTTCCAGGCCAGGCTCAAGGACAGGCTATGTTCTGTGGCCGGCCCTCACCCCTCCTGCCACCCTGCAGCCCAGTGGCTGGTTCTTTCAAGGTGACTTCCTCCCTGTGTGAAGGTAGCCAATACCCTCTTTCCCTAAAACCATAGGCTGGGGGCATCTTGAGGTGGATTCTCCTTCCCATGAAACTTGAGGTGGGAGTGGGATTGTGCTGGGGTATTGGCTGCCTTCACACAGAGAGGAAGTCACACTGTGACCCTGCTTCCCTGTTTCTGTTCAGGTTTTGGTCTCTATCTGGGCAGGATCCTGAGGGCGAGCTCTGAGAGGAGGCACACTGGGAGGAGATGGCAGCAGAAGAGAGGCCTGGGTGGAAGCTAGGGTGTTCTCTCTGTTCTCTTTCCCATCGTAGATAACCACGCTATCTTGAGCTATTATGAAGCTCNGTGGCAGAAGAGAGGCCTGGGTGGAAGCTAGGGTGTTCTCTCTGTTCTCTTTCCCATCGTAGATAACCACGCTATCTTGAGCTATTATGAAGCTCTGGTGACTTTGCAGCAAGGAGGATGGTGTGCCTTCTCCCACTGTGCCCCTCCCCCAGCCCTGGCTACTGCTGGCCAGAGCCCAACACACCACACTCCCGGCCCCAAGCCCTCCCAGCTAGGATACAGGCCTGAAGACCCTCCCCTCAGCCACCTGCAGACCTCCTGTGCTCCACCCCTCCATCTCCCTCCTATAGCACAGTTGTGACACTCTGTGGGACTCTTTGGGCAGGGACAACTCCCATGGGGGCCCGTCCCTGGCAGGTGTTAGTGAGCTGACTGACCTGGGACCCAAGCATGGCAGACAGGCCAGTCCAGGCTGTTGCGATTTTCACATCTTTGATTCCCCCCATCACTTTTTGAACAGAAATCAGTTCCCACACACTTGCCTCTTGCTAGAACATCCTCCTCACCAACTGAAGAGGAGAAACTAATGAAATCCTGGAAGAGCTGGCTCAGAGATTTAAACAGGCCAGACCAGACCCAAGGTGGAGCCAGTATCGCCTTAGAAAACAGAGAAGGCGGGAGCATACCGCACTTCCCCTTCCCCCCAGAGATGCCCGTTACAGTGAGGAACCTACAAGGAGTGGAACTTTTATTTTAAAATAAACACGACTATGGCTGGGAACAAGCTAACCTTCACCTTCCACAGCGGGTTCTTTTCCTGTGTAAATCTCTCATTTACCTGGGAATGTGGTTTTCTTTAGAATTCTGCACTTAAGATGAACCCACACTCTGTCTGAGGGGAGCAGGGGCAGGAGGAAGAACGAATGCACTGTGCATCTCTGCGCATCAGCAGAGGGCTCTACACCTCCGTGCCCCCAGGAGCAAAGCGTAACCAAGGAACAGTGCCTACTTACATAAACAAATTACATGAGGCCTAGTTTACATTTGCTTCAATAATGCACCTGGCGTTCTAGTGCTACAGTTGGATAAAACCTCTAAATTACACCATTTTACTTCCTAGTGATTTCAGGGAAAGTTGTAACAAACCAATGAACAGGTTTAGAATATATTTACATACATTCTTGGTGTTCAAGGCAACATAAACATAATTCATCACCCAGATTGGAGGAAAATAGGTGGGCACCGCTTAGCCAGTCACAGGTGGGGTTCCTCAGAGGTGCTCAGATCTAGGTTCTCAGCCAAGGAGCCCAAGGAAGGGGATTTCCTGGGTGCATCTGCCTGAAAGGCCAGCAGTCAAAGACTCCATTCGACTGCACCTCTCCTTTTCTGAAAGAGGAAAGCAGGGGCCTCTGGCGTGCTGGGTGTGGGTGAGGCTTTGCTGGCACTGGTGGGCTGTGAGGGAGGGGTGCCCCCAGGGGCAGGGGTCTTGGGGTGAAATGCTTCCCAGCTACCCCACTCACTGGCTGTTCCACATTGTGCAGACCATTGGTTTCTTCCCACCTATTTCCTTATCCATAAAATGGGCCTAATGAGTATTCAGAGGGGCTTTCCCTGGTCGTATTTGTCCTGAAGCCCTCTTCTTCCCCATTTGGAAAGTTTATTAACTACAGATAAACAGAAAAAATAAAAAGGACTGCCTACTACAGCCCATTTGCTGTCCTGAGTCTAGGGTGAATGGTGACTCACCTTTGTCTCCAGACTGCTGCTCTCCTTGGGGTCCTGACAGCCAGGTGCAGGAGTAGTCTGGAGACTTACCTCCCACCCCCACGGTTAACACCAAAGCAGGGTTGCTGGGGTGTATATGGTTGGTCACGTGTTACAGCTGGACAATGACGAGACCACAGTTACAGGATTATTTCCACAGATATTTATTTTAAACCACGGAGGCGACTTTGCATTGGTAACGTACATGGGTAACGGCGACATGTACAGTTCAGCTGGAGGGAAGCACGGTGGGAAAGTAAGCGGAGTTTAGAAACATTCCCAACATTCAGCAGCATTTAAATGTAGAACTGGATACAGACATTTTAACACTGTAGGAAACTCTTGCTCAATCCACTCGATCACATTTAGGAAGTCAATGTCAAGACTGCTTGGTTTGGTTGATGGAATCAATGACAGAAACCACATTTGAGAAATCTGTTCTAACTTCAGGCTTATTACATTTTCAGCCTGACCCCTTGGAGAATCTCACTTCAAAAAGAAAGAAAAAATATCCTAAAGTAACATGCCCGCTGCAGCTAGGCTCTGGTGTGGCCACAGACCGATGGGCGTGTGGAACAGAAGCGTCCATGTGCCCAGTTATGGCTACAGTGGTCGACAGGCACGGTGTGGGGCTAGCACCTTCCCTGTTGTCCAGTTAATAACAGTCTGTACTTTTCATAGGTTTTCTTTTACAAAATGATAGTGCATTGAAAAAAAGCCATTTAAAAACAAGGCAAATGGCATAAAACAAATATATGAGACTACAATGGTTACCAGTGACATAAGTATTTTGGTCCATACTTCATATTGGCGCATGCTACTGACTTAAGGTTGTCACCCATTTAAATGGGAAAAAAGGTGTATGTAAGTGAAAAACTTTTTTCAAACCACTTCCACTTTTTGTGTCATAGTCCTCCCTCGTGCTTCCCAGAGGACCAAGGGGGGTAAAAAAGGAGGGAAGAATCATGAACATCAAGGTCAGATTCTAAATTTAACCTTTTAAACCACCCTGTAATCCCTGCCACTTTCTCTCCCAAGAAAGTCAGATACACTTTCGACTCACAAAAGTGAACATTTGAAGGTATGTTTTTAATGAGATGGTACCATGATTAACTTCCACTTTCACCATCTTTTTCAAATCTCCTAGGCTGGAGATAGAAAAAATACAGAAAGCAATTTTCTTGATATAAGACAAAGATTTTGCGATATGCTCCCATTTATCTGAGTTAAGTCAGCCGTGTGTGGGTCAGTCACTGGTAATGGTTTAGGCCAGTTCAATAATAAACAACATTCATGGAATCATAGGATCGTAAGATTGGAAGGGATCTTAAGAACAATCATCAAATTCAACCCTTACTCCAGGCTTTAATCTCCTTCCCACATCACTGACAAGGGGCCAACTACGGTCTCCTTTCCCTGTCATGGGAAACTCAAGGAGGGATCCCATTCCAATTTTGGACAGACCTAGTTTTTAGACATTCCTTTGGTGTGTTAACCTAAATATGCTTCTCAGTGGGAAGGATAATGTTTAAAGACAAAATTACAAATTAAAACCCTTCAATTGGTAAGTATATAGTACTTGGTTGTAGAGTTGAGCTAGATTTAAATATGTATAGTACATGGATGTTCTGGAATTAGGTTATGGACAAATGAGACTTGGGTAGTGAAAGAAAAAGGGAAATGGATGGAACAGCAGGAACTAGAAAGTGCCAAGCCCCACAGTGAGAGGCTGGGTGTGCCCCTGCCTCAGCAGAGCCAGGTCTCTGAGGCAGTGGCTGCTGGAGCTCCTTTCACTGTCACTGAATTGAGAAAAATGTTCCCTTTTACTTGGAGAGTGCCACTTAAGGATTTCCCATTTACCACACTGTACTGAAATGACCCATTACTTGAAAGAACAATTTAAGGCTGAGAAGAAAACGGAAGGCAGCAGCTGCCTGCTTATGTACTGAAAGGCTTGGCTCTGTGTTAGTGTAATGCCAGCTGTCTAGAACAATCTCCTCCTGCCACAGGTCAAGGTCTTTCCTTTTTCACAGGGGAGAAGCTTAGCCCAACCCACCTGTGTAATTATGCAATTAGTATGTAGGTTCCTCCAGGCCAAGTCCATGCCTATGCGGTTTCCAGCTCCATTCACCTCAATGCCTCCAGTGAAAGGCTGTGTACCCAGAAAGTTCAAAAATTAGTAACTATGTGTCATTTTAAGATAACAATTCCAGGCATTCCCAAAGGAAAAGAAACTCTGATACCAGCCTGGACTGCAGGAAAACCTGGACTCTGACACTGATGAGCCTCTATGTAAACAAACCCCTCAAGGCCAACCGTGTGCTGCCTCCCTCTCTGCCGTCATGAGCATCAGTCTCAAGGTGACAAGAGGTAAGGCTCCAGGACTGCAGCCAAGTGCTTGATATTCTCTGGCAACTCCAAACCCTGTGGCCCCCCATGCACCAGGCTAAAGCGAGATCTTGGGCCTTTGTTTAGGCTGTTTCTGCAGCCTGGAAAGTCATTTCTTTACTCAACTCACCCTTTAGCTCGCTCTTGGATCACAAGTCCTTCCCTCAACAAAGTCCCTCTGGCCCCACCCACTCCGGCAGGGGCACCCTGTGTGGCTCTCCCCAGGCCTGGAATTGGAACTTGTCATCCAGGCCTAGTTCAAAGCCTGGCATAAAGTGAGGATTATCTAGATAACTGAATGTTAAAAAGAAACTTATTTTCTGTGTTTTCCAATCAAATTGCTAGATATTCATGCTTTCACATCAGGAAAATTTTAACTTAGCATTATTTTTAAGAAGAGAAAAATTAAGAATGTTTTGGCAAAATGCTTGCTTTCACTTTAAAATGTAAATGTTAGTGAGCAAGGCCTTTATATACAATTAAACTATATGAAAAGGCAAAACCAAGAGCCTCATTTAATGAATATTTATATCCAGTAACTTTGATACATAGTTTAGAGCTATCTCTTTGCTTAAGTCAAAATTCAGGCTTTAAAAATAGATTAATGTTAAGCAAAAATAAACTATGCTTTAAAAATGAATGTCAAACATGAAAAGGTGATGTTCCACAGAAAGGCAAATGCTGTAGCCCAGCGACTCACTCTAGGCCAACCTGTGATGAGCCTTCAGACAAATGGGGTAAAGGTGCATTTCCAATGCCCCTGGATTTCCACTTAAATATTGCTGCTGGGTGGTCTGTGGGGAAAAGTGCAGGAAAGAGTTTACACTGATGAAGACTTGCAATAATTGCCTCACTACATAGTTCCCACCCGCTCATAACAACAGGGCTGGGGGCAAAAGAAGTGTCAGATTTGCCCATGACAGGGAACAAACTTGGTTCCAGAGGCTCCCTGTCTAAAGGCACTGGAAGTCACTACTCCCACTAATGCCATTACCAGGTAAAGTTCAAAAACAATTGTTCCTTGAAAATACTTCTTTTAGATTCTCTTGTTTCCACCTCAGCTATTCTGCCTGGTAGAACTAGTGTTTTGTGCATGGAACATTCTAGATCTCTGAAGATCCCTTCCAGTTTCACGATTTTATGATTCTTTAAATAATTCAAACAAGTGAGAAATACACCATGGCTGACTGACCTCATATAAAAGACACACAACGCCAAGGACTTAATGTAAAACCACTTTTGTTACTGTGGAGATATACCCAGGCAGTTAAAGTTTCCAGTAACATCATTTCTTTGGAGAAACCGAGAGCACGTGATTGGTTTCATCCTACCAAAGAAAGAGCAACTATGTGCAGTTCTGCCACTTTTCTGCACAGCCATGCTAGGCATTACTTGCCAGAGCTGCTGTATGTTGAAGTAATAGAGCAAAAATGTATGTAAAGTGCAAATCCAAAAGGGGAAAACAAGAACTATGACAGTTAACCTAGACAGGAGGAAAGGCAAGTGCTGGTGCCAGCTTCCTCTCCTTGTGATGAAGCCTCTATTTCTATAAAATGCTTGGAAGACACCCAACACCAGCAGATATATCTCTGAGTTATAAAAACTGTGGAGATTCAACGTAAAACTCAAGAATTCACAGTATTACAAATACATACATTCAAGCAGCCATTCACATGAGGAGAAAAAGGGCAGAGCAACGGATACCTTGACACATCTGTGGTTTGTGATCCTGATTCTCCTCACCAAGGCAGTGTCAAGTGGCTTCAATCTCTCGGTGGCTCTGTGGGCTGGGGTACAGCCATGCTGGGAGAGAGATGACTACAGGGTCGCAGACAGAGCCACCGTGGTGTACATGTGTGATCCCACAGGGACGATCAGCTTCCCAAATGGAGTGTGAGCTCATCCAGATCTAACTCAGATCCATGCCAGGCTTGCTGGGTGCCTGATCTATTGCCTCTCTAACACTCTGTCTTCCCCTCTGTAGAGAGCATGTTCCAAAGCTCAGGAAGGGAAAACAGAGTATCCATTCCTACTATTCATTCCAACAGAGTTCTCTATTATGCACAAATTAGTAATGGCTGCGGGTTCTAGTAATAAATTACAAAATAGATATTTGAATATTCTAAATTTAATTCCCTTTTAAAGCTCTCTCACAGAGCAATCATGCAGAAAAGACTCAGACTGATTTTAACAGCTTGATGGCAAGCAAGGGTAGCATGGAAGGGGCCAGTGAAGGGACAACTGGTAATCACTTCTGTGCATATGACCTTAGAGTATGATCACGTGGGCTGGTCTGATGTCTCAGGTGATTACTATCATGTACCGTGGCTGACCGGGGAGCACCACTGGTCCTGCTTGCCAATGCTGCAGCAGCAGGATCCTCTCTAGGAAGCTCCTTCCCCAGGAAGCACGCTAGGTCAGCGTTAGGGATGGTACCCAAGTATGGCTGGTAGTACTTCTTTTGGTTAGAAAGAAAAGTAAGTAATGTTCACGAGGGAAAAAATTGCTTTCCAGGAAAAGAGAGAAAAATAGGGAGGATTTCAAATATTAACACCAAAAAATTATCAAATCAGAAGTGAACAAGACACTGTGGAGGTAGGACTTGAATAGGAGGGGCAAGTAATTGGTCTGTATTGGTCTGTATATTTGCAAGGTTTTATTTAACCTGGTAGTAATCCCGAAGAGAGTTAGTGATCCCCGAAAAGCCCCCAACAGGTGAGGGTTGACCTAAGTGGTACCATGTCATGTGCTTAGAATGGGGGGGGGAGGGGCACATAGCACATGCTTACCCACTCATTTAAATTCTATTTATATAGGTGAAAATAAGATTTTAAAAAAGGACTTCAATATTGTGAGTTGAGTCACTAAAACAGAATATTTCACTTTATCAAATTTGACTGGATTCCCTTAAAATTAGTTTCATCAGGTTGATTTTCTAAAGCCCTTTTCACATTCCCAACAGGAACACATCATGAGCTGTAAGATTCAGTACCTTTTATGTCTCAGACCACAGTTTTAGTATAAAAGTGTGCAAAGTGTTCTAGTTTTTAAAGGGGAAGGAAATACAGATGATGAGGAATAGAGCTGGATTCAGTCTCGCAGTAATGAACATGGTCAAGTTCAGAGGTTATGTCACACAGACAAACACAGCTTTTTTGGGAAGGATACAGGGTTTTGTTTGTTTTTAATACAAGTGAGAGAGCTAGCTGTGTCAATAAAACGAAAACATGAAAGGCTCAGAAGGCTCCAACTGAATTAGAAACAATTCAGGCACTGATAGTTGAAACTCTGAGTTATAATCATCTACTCCTGTGATGACAATGGTTGGGAACAGCTTTCTCATACATAGCATTTTTTAATGTGGGAAAGACAGAGAAAACTGAGGCAGAAACACCAGGTCATTTATACTCAATAAGAACATGAATAAGTTAGACATTACAGATCATTCTTCAGGTGATTCAAGAAGTCGGTTGGTAAATCCACACAAATGACTTACCAAATCTCTCAACTGAAGAGGATTTCTATGAAAGCAGAAACACTGCGAATAACCAGTGTAAATACATACACTCTGGTGAAAAGCAGATGAAGGTGCGAGTAGCTACAGAGAAGAAAAAAGATGACCCTGTGATCCATGCCCAAGTGAAGAAAGCATGGAAACTGCTTTCTAATAACCAAAAACACCCTGAATAGACACTTTCCTCATTTCTCTGATACACAAAGCAACAACTAAAATGAAGTGTTGAAACATCCCACACAGAGTTTTCAATATACGCAAAACAATGCAGCAAGCCAGACTGTATAAACCATTTGTTAAAAAAATATCTTCTTTTATATTGTATGAATAAGTCGAAAGAGTCCCCTCCAAGCGTTCACTCACTGGCTCACCACTGTGTCTGCAGGTAATATGCAAACTTAGCCAGTTTCTTTAGTCTCTCTTCTCACGTGGCTGCTTTACAGCTCCAGTAATGACTTGGATTAAAACAATCATTTCTTGAGTAAATACTATCTTCCTGATGCCTGGGAGTATCATCAAGATACTACTGGGGTCATGTCCCACAACTGTAAAAAGAAAAGGAAGATATACAATGAACTAAAATTAAATTGTATTGAGGACAACCAATCCTTATAATTAAATTCAAGTGAATTTTTAAATTTAAGCAGTAACTAAATACTATACTAACATGATTCTGAAATCTTTAAAATAGTATTTTCCATCAAAAAGTACTATAACATAAACCTCAAAAACATGACAGTGGCACCTGGAAATTTTAATCCAGCTAATAGAGCCTAAAAGCAGATGAGAATCATTTAAGGGGACAGGGAACTAAGCTATACTAGGCAGCAAATGGGTACCAGGGATGTGCTGTGTCCTTTCGATATCTTATCTCATTTACTCCTCCAAACAGTTCTACAAAGTGTCTCATTTTCAAAAATAGAGGAACTGAGACTCCCAGAGTTTATTTTAAACTTGCTTAAAGTCTCAGAGGCCTGGCAACTTCCAAAGGGGGTTATTTTAACCACCTCATCCTGCTGCTGCCTCTAAGAATGGACCAGAATGGGCCTGAGAAGCAGAGCTCAGTGCACTGGGCAAGCCTGCGCTGTGCCTGTGTTTCTCAGAAAATGACGCCGGTGTGGGCTTTTCTGTCCTGGACACTTGCTGTGGCACTGAGTCCATACGGTCTGCCACCATCCTCAGAGAGGCCCTGGAGGAATGCTTGTGGATTAATTGATCTCACTGGAAAAAGATCTTGTTTATTACTTGTTGGCTTATTCAAGTCCTACCACTGATTCAATGCTCATCTCAAATCCCTCCTCCTTCATAGAGCCACCCCCAGCAGTACTATCTCCCTCTATGGAACTCTTAAAGTAATTCTTATCTGTATTACTCTTCTGGCCACTGCAAATGTGACTTATTATTAATTGTCTTTTTAAGAGTATGTCTCCAATAGACTAGCTGTTCCTTGCAGGCATGAGCATATCTTATCTTGGTGTTTACTGCCAGTGCCTGGCATGGGCCCTAAATGTTCTCAAAGATGCTCACTGCCAAGGGTAACCTTCTGAACAGGTTTCACATAGCCTTGGGGCTCCTCTATATTCACAGAGGGCCAAATATGGAAAGCTCCTAAAATGAGATAGCATCCTACCTTAATAACCTTGTCAGTTCCCGAAGTCAGTAGCCATCCCCGGGTAGCATCAAAATGCACATGCACAATGTTGTGTTTACTGTCATGGAAGGTGGCTGTGGGCGCTCGCCTGGAGTAAGCAAAGAACATTTCCAAGAGTGAAAAGTTGTGACATAGGAATGAAGGATATCTAGAGTGACATTAAACTCTAATTTTTAGCCAAATAGCTGAAACTACTTCACAGTTAGAAATGCTGCTCAGATCTACCTTTATTACCTGGTGACATGGTAAATTTTTTTTTTTTAAAGTAAAGGATTCTTATATTGTCCAAAATGGCAAAGAGCTGATGAATTTTTCAAAAGTCCCTTATAGATTATTTATTGCTCTAATGGAGTCTATGAAAATCTCTGTGTTTTTGACAAAGTAACAGTACATTTTGACAAAGTTACAGAACATTTTACCCCAAAGCTTCAGAATACACATTCTTCTCAAGTGCACAAGGGATATTCTCAAAGACAGGCCACATGTTAGGACACAAAATCACTCTCTACAAATTCAAGAACACTGAAATCATATCAAGCATCTTCTCAGGTCACAATGGCATGACACTAGAAATCAACTACAATGAAAACACCCCAAAGCATTCAAACACATGGAGGCTAAACAGCATGTTATTAAACAACAAATGGGTTACCAATGAGATCAAGGAAGAAATCAAAAACTTCCTGGAAAAAAATGAAAATGAACAAACAGCCCAAAATCTATGGGACACAGTGAAAGCAGTCCTGAAGGGGAAGTTCATAGCACTACAGGCCTACCTCAGAAACAAGAATAACTTCTAATAAACTATCTAACCCTACAACTTAAAGAATTAGAAAGAGAACAACAAGCCCAGAATAAGTAGAATGAAGGAATAATAAAGATTAGAGTGGAAATAAATGGCATAGAGACTAAAAAAAAAAATACAAAAGATCAAATGAAACCAAGAGCTGGTTCTTTGAAAAGATAAACAAGATTGATGAAGCTTTAGTCAGATTAATCAAGAAACAAAAAGAGAGGACCCAAATCAACAAAATCAGAAACAAAAGGGGTGAAGTAACAACTGACACCACAGAAATACAAAGGACTGTAAGAAAATACTATCAACAACTATATGCCAATAATCTGGACAACCTGGACAAATTCCTAGGAAAATACAATCTTCCAAAGCTGAATCAGGAAGAAGCAGAAAACCAGAATAGGCCCATAACAACTGATGAAATTGAAGCAGTAATAAAAAAAATACTCCCAGCAAACAAAATCAGTGGTCCAGATGGCTTCACAGGGTACTTTTACTAAATATTCAAGAAGAACTAGCATGTATCATCCTCAAACTATTCCAAAAAATCCAAGAGAAAGGAATGCTTCCCAGTTCTTTTTACGAGGCAAGCATTATCCTAATTCCCAAACCAAATAAAGACACTACAAAGAAAGGCCAATATCCCTGAACATAGATGCTAACATCCTCAAAAAAATATTAGCAAATGGGTTCCAGCAATATATTTAAAAGATCATACACCATGACCAAGTGGGATTTATTCCAGAGAGGCAAGGCCGGTACAATATTTGCAAATCAATAAATGTGATATATCACATAAACAAATTGAAAGACAAAAATCACATGATCATATCAATAGATTCAAAAAAAGCTTCGACAAAATCCAACACCCATTTTTGATAAAAACTCTCAGCGAAGTGGGAATGGAGAGATCACACCTCAACATAATAAAGGCCATATATGACAAACCTACAGTCAACATCATACTAAATGGGCAAAAACTAAAACCATTTCCCCTAAGAACAGGAATAAGACAGGGGTGTCCACTTTCACGACTCTTATTTAACATAGTACTGGAAGCCCTAGTCACAGCCATCAGACAAGAATAAAACATAAAAGGCATCCAAATTGGAAAGAAGGAAGTAAAACTCTCATTACTCGCAGACAGCATGATAGTGTACATAAAAAACCCTGAAGATTCCACCAAAAAACTACTAGATTTAATAAATGCATTCAGCAGTGTAGCAGGATACAAAATTAACATCCAGAAATCAAAGGCATTTTTATATACCAATAATGAACTCTCAGAAAGAGAAACTAAAAATAAATCCCATTTACCATTGTAACAAAAAAAAAATCAAGATACTTAGGAATAAGCTTAAACAAGGAGGTAAAACCCTATACTTGGAAAACTACAGAATGTTGAAAAGATAGAAGATATAAAAGAGTAGAAGAAGTATCGTGTTCATGAGATGTTTCTATCTCCCCATCTCCCTTCCTCTCTCTGAAATCAATTTAAAAAATATTACCCAAAGCAATGTCCATATTACCCAAAGCAATCTATAGATTCAATGCAATCCTATCCAAATACCAATGGCATATTTCACAGAGCCAGAACAAACACTTCAAAAACTTATATGGAACCAAAACAGACCCAGAATAGCCACAGCATATCTTGAGAAAGAAGAACAAAGTTGGAGGGATCACAATACCAGATATCAAGCTATACTACAAAGTCACTGTAATCAAAACAGCCTGGTACTGGCACAAGAACAGGCATACAGGCCAATGGAACAACAGAGAACTCATAGAATGACCAAGCCATTATGCTCAATTAATATTTGACAATGGAGCCAAGAGCATATAATGGAGTAAGGACAGTCTCTTCAATAAGTGATCGTGGGAAAATTGGAGAGGTACATGCAAAAAAATGAAACTAGACCATCAACTTACACCATACACAAAAGTAAACTCAAAATGGATATAAGACTTAAATGTAAGACATGAAACCATAAAAATGCTAGAAGAAACCATAGGCAGTAAAATAGGAGATATCTCACATAGCAGAATTTTCACTGATACAACGCCTAGGGCAAAAGTAACAAAGGAAAAAATGAAAATGAGACTACACCAAAATAAAAAGCTTCTGCACAGCAAAAGAAATCCTCATCAAAATGAAAAGAGAACCCACTGTATGGGAGAACATATTTGTCAATGATACAGCTAATAAGGAGTTAATTTGCAAAATATATAGAGTATTCATACAACTCAACACAAGGAAGACAAACAACCCAATTAAAAAATGGGCAGAGGGCCTGAATAGACATTTCTCCAAAGAGGACATACAAATGGCCAAGAGACATATGAAAAAATGCTTAACGTCACTAATTATCAGAGAGATGCAAATTAAAACCACAATGAGGTACCACCTCACACCTGCCAGAATTCCTACCATTACTAAATCAACACACAAGTGCTGGTGAGGATGTGGAGAAGGGGAACCCTAGTACACTGCTGGTGGGAATGCAGACTGGTGCAGCCACTATGGAAAACTGTGGATTTTTCTCAAAAAATTAAAAATGGAACTGCCATTTGACCCAGTGATCCCACTTCTGGGAATATATCCTAAGAATCTCGAAACACCAATCTGAAAGAATATATACACCCCTATGTTCATAGCAGCACTATTTATAAGAGCTAAGATCTGGAAACAGCCCAAGTGCCCATTAGTGGATGAGTGGATAAAAAGCTATGGTACATTTACACCATGGAATACTATGCAGCTGTACAAAAGAAGGATCTCTTACTCTTTGAGACAGCATGGATGGACCTGGAGATTATTATGCTAAGAGAAATAAGCCAGTCAGAGAAAGACAAATATCACATGATCTCACTTATATGTGGAATGTAATGAACAAAATAAACTGATGAACAAAATAGATCCAGAGACTTTGAAGCATGGAACAGATGTATTTCAGAGGCAAAGAGGGAGTAGGGGTGGTGGAATAGATTAACCAAAGAACTACATGCATATATGTATAGCCCACTGACAGACAACAATGTGGGGAAGACCTGGGGAGGGGGCAGCAGCAGGGTGGATGGGGTCAGTGGGGAGGGGGGGGGCATCTGTAATATTGTCAATGATAAAGATAAATTTAAAAAAAGAAAAAATACTGCAGTGCTTTGGCTAAGTTTGGTCTCAGAAGGATTTGCTGGTAAAATAGCCTATGAAACACTGTTATCTGTTTTGGTTTTTTAATATATGCATATTTTTAGTAAGGTCTATCAACTGCCCCGTTGCTCTGAAGGCACACAGAAGAGGCAGAAGAAACAGTGACGTTGGAAAGGGGACAGGAACATGATGAAGGAGAAAGCTTTTCTCTAATCACGTTTCAGTGAAGATGTTCATGGCTCTCTGAAGATGGTGGTTTTGTTTTCTTTTTTAATCTATAGCTAAATCTAAATAGATCTTCAGCATACCAAAAGTGGTTTACTTTAAAATATACAGAATTGAAGATTTAGGCTTAATTTGCAGTTCCTTAGGCCCTCTGGGTCTGTGTCTTTAGCTATAAAATGAGGAATTAAACCAGAATATCTCTAAGATCATATGCAGCTCTCTTATTTAATGAGAAGAACTCCTATTCATTTCATCATGTATGATGAGTGGAAAATAATCAGTGAACAGAAATGCTTCTGGGAGGGCATCTTAATTTATAATTGATATGGATAAATAATAATGGAGAACATGTAAGTTAGGGTTATCTATAAAAGAATACTTTATTAATTTGCCAAGAATTCCCTTTAAATGCTGATTTACTCTGGTACATTTTATTTATTTTTTTACTCTGGTGCATTTTTAATGTTTCTATTTACATGGTTTTAAGACACCCATGTAGTACATACATGATTTTACTATATACAAGGTGTTGGAGGTATGTGGGGGTGGGAGCATTAGGCAGCCGTTTTCCTATGAAATCCTGCTGTAATTCACTAAAAGGGAAACTTGTTGCAGAGCATTCTGTTTACATGTGGGGCAGTTTTCAATTAGCCAACACTAAAGAGACAGCATAGATGTGTCCCACCTACTAAGCACAATGAGAGGCAACAACCTAAGGTCCTGGGTTTCTGGGCAAGACTGACCAGCAAGGCTTATTAGTTGGGAAACTAGTAACATTTGCTTCTTAGGTAAAGTGGCTTAGCTCTTCCTGGAAAATGAAACCGCTGGAGCCTGGCGCTGATTTGGCTCCTGAAAGGATACCAGCTTGGAAAGTGAACCCTGGGTTTCTGAACTCCTGGGCACTTCTCAAGGAAATGAGTATACAGAAGGCTCTACCTGAAGAACATCTATTTGCAATGCACATAACCCCTGGGGTTGAGAAGAGCACAGGGAAGCAGTCTTTGTGCGTACTCCCTATTCTCCTATCTCACAAGAGAACATAATCTCTTGGCAGAAAGGAGGGCTTTGCCCACTTGTCACGATCTACATTCTAAGCCAGCAGGAACTAGGGCACTACTGGTCATGACTACTGTGCTGAGAGCAGCTCTCAGATCACATTCTCTCCTTAAGCCTGGCAATTTTGCAGACTGCTGGAACTTACTCTTCATCTGTGATGGCCTCATGGCAGCTGTCACAGACCCTCACTTCAAACTCGAAGCCCATCAGAGGGATGGAGGAGCGTTTGGAGCTGCACTTGCCGCAGACTGCCTTCCCACACTTGCGGCAGTGGTGCTGCAGGGAGAGAGGACAGATACTTGTTAAAGCGCTCCTGCCTCGGTGTCTCCAGGTATGCTAAGCAGTGATCAACAGCATTCAGCTGAGGATACTAAACAAGAGTGCCCCTCAAAATGGAAACACATAGTGTGTTCTCTTTTTGGACTCTGTATTCAGAATGAGGACTGCTGGGAAACATCTGACTGCCACCTCCTCCCATTCTTGGTCCTCTCTAGTTATCATCACTATGAACTCTAATGGAACCACCCAGCAGTCAGGTTATCTTAAAGCTGAGTGTAATGAGAAAGTGCCATCTCCAGAGATTATGCTGCCTCATAAAGGGGAGCATGAATGAACCCTCATGGTTTAGCCATGCTCAATCTAGGTGAGCAATGAAATCAACGTTTGGTTTCCTTAGGGAAGAACAGACTGAAATGCTGTATTATAAATAGATCTAAATAACTAAAACTAAGACATAAGCATGGGCAAGTGAAATTATTAAGAAGAAATAAATACCACTTCTATAATTATACCAATATAAGCTAAGCATGATTCCTCCCTCTAACCTTAAAGTATATTTCAACAGATGCCACTAGAATTCTGAAGTGATAGCCGTTAACTTCTTACTGGGGACAAGTCGCTAAAAAACTGAATCCAGTAGGAATGTGCTATTGTAGAATAAGGGAATAAATTAATGTGCAGTCACAAAGTGACTCCATGATAATAATTTACTCCTATTTCTTCTAAGATCACAAGGTAAAGTTATTCCCACACTACTACATTTTGATGAAGCAGCCATATCACTCACCTGTCTTAGGCCAATTTTCCTACTGTCCCACATTTGCTTGAAGTTCCAGAAGAAAGGCTGATCACATTTTTGGCAGGAATCACTGTCCAACCATTCAGGGGTCTTGTCAAATAAAGCACACAGCAGGTCACAGTGAGAAACAGTAACCTAAGGTTACTTGATATAAAATACATTGATGAAACTCACAGAATCAGGATATGTTTATAAGAAACAGAAACATGATTTCTCAATCATTTAAAAAATATTTACTAAATGTCTATTATGTGTCAGGCCCTGGAATGTAGTGATGAATAAAAAGAATCTCATGGAGAATATCATGGAAAGTTAAACACAAAAATATTATTAATAATTATTATTTAAATAAGTATCAGTGCAAATGCCTGAAAAGAAGCACAGAGTGCTGAGAGTGCTATGACCTAGGCTGGGGTTCAGGGGTGCTCAGGGAGAGTTAGGGCTTTATCAGCAGTCTTGACAGCCACGCTGAGGATTCAGGACTTTATCTCATATTCTCTGATCGTATGCAGTTATATTTGCTTTGACTGTGTACAATTATATCTAATTGCACATTAAACAGACACACAGCTACCTGTGTTGGAGGGACAAAACCTGAACACAGCAGGTACTCAGGGATGCTACTTGTCCACTGTCCACTCGTGGCAGGGCCCAGCAGAGTTTGAAACTCTGCTCCATGCCTCATGGGTCACACAATAGTCTGACTTTGTTCACTATTTCCCAACCCCATCACAAATACTCTAAAGTATGTGAAACAGGTTTAAAAGTTGTGTTCAGTTTAAAGTTACTCTCTAGCAAATCTTCATCGATTATGTGTATCATGACTCTCCACATTTGCTTCTAGAGTTCTCTCTTCATCTCTGTAAATTCATCACCTGGCAGACTCTTTCCACATGTTGCCAAACCCAAGAAACTTGAAAAATAAACCCAACCCCAGGGTTTCCCAAAAGTAAATTCTAGGGAGCTCCAATTTGACTCTTACTGTAAAAGAGGCGTGAGATCAAACAAGTTTGTGAAACGTGGTAAACAATAGCCTGCTTCCTCTCTGAGATTCACAATGGGCAGCAGCACAGGGAAGGCCCAGGAAGGCCTTTTTCTGTTTGATATAATTCTTTTTTTGAGGAACGCCTGCTATGGAACAGATTTAGGGATTTAGTCTATTCTCCTACCTTCAAGCAGAAATAAACCTAAAGCTATACATGTTCTCAAAAGGAACATAAATTTTAAGAGCTCTAATTCTTTTTTAAAGAATAGTTTATTGATTTTAGAGAGAGGAAAGGAGAGGGAGAGAGAGAGAGAGAGAAACATTTATTCGAGAATGAAACACTGATCAGCTGCCTCTTGCGCAACCCCCTCACCGGGGATCAAGTCTGAAACCCAGACATGTGCTCTGACCAGTAATCAAACCAGCAACCTTCTGGTGCATGGGGCAATGCCTAACCAACAAGCCAAACTGAAGAAAAGTAAATCTTAATTTGCTTCATAATTTTCATGTCCTAATTAGTTTAAAGACAGATTTAATAAAATAATACAAAGTTTTTAGCTAAAGACACTTTAATCCTAAAGGTCACACATATGTTGTGTTTTTAAAACAATTCTGATGTAGAAAGATTTTAAAAAACTTTCACACACACCACTGCATTTCTTACAAGGAAGCATGCAGGTTTAGGACATATGTCAAATGCATCATGGTGGATGCCTATGAATGAGGGGGGAGTTGGGAATAAGTATCAGGAAAGGGAAAAAAAATAAATCACCATGTGATGTGTAGTATAATTCAATTCCACTTTTTTTGTAAAAAAAAAAAAAAATTTTAAAAATCTGTGTTAATAATTGTTTATAAGACACTTATAAGGAAGGGTACTTGTCAACTTGTTAAGGGTGATATTTCTGGGTGGTGGTATCATGAGCAACTGCATTCTATTTGTTAATGAGCACTCTGTAACTTTTCAATAAAGAACATTTATTATGTATACTTTAAAAAAAAAGTAAAATTTTGAAAAAATGGATTTCATTAACCTATGGGATGTCAAGCCCAACAAGATCAGCCACTTGATGTCTTACATCGTCTGCCCCACTGCCCAGGTAGCCTTTTGTCGCTGTGGCTTCCCCAGCGCATGCGCACTAACGCTGTGTGTGTGGTGGCTCATGTTCACCTGCTTTACTCTTGCGGTTTCTTGTCCTGATCAGAGCACGTTCAGCCCCCATCAATCTTTCAGCACTATTTCCTTCCACACACTCTTCTCTGAGAACATCAGATGACAATGGTAAAGTCCCTTCCTACATATCCAGCACTAATGCTCTATCTTACATCTACTTGCTTCATTTATACCATTTCATAGTTTTCCTAAGTTTTCTCCCACATCTCTTTTATTCTAGAAAGTCTGCCAGCGCTTCAGGGTAGGGACTGCTTCATCACATGTCTCCGACCTCCCGAGGTGAGCACTGCAGCCTTGCCATACCAGGAAGCAGCTCCACAGATACATCTTGGGGGATTTCTGTTTATAAGATACTTGCAAAAAAATAGATGGAACCATCTCCACTGATCACTTAGAGCTCTGAAGCACTTGACAAGACTTAAAATAGTCAGCAAGTACCGAACCCTCATTTATCTGTATGTCAAAAGGCATAATTTAAGCAAGACGGCTCAAAGGGCTGTTGACCAGCAACCTGGTTTCCTTATCGTCCTTTGGGCCTTTGTCCATCTGGGGCAGAGGCTGCCTGCTGCTCAGAATGAGTCACCCCTCACACCAAGATGCGCCATGGTGGTATTCAGGTTCTTTTGAGCTAAAGGCAACTGAGATCCCGCAGGCTCACAATAAACTTTTTACCTGCTCCTTAAAGAATTTAAATTAGGGGCCTTGCCCATAAGAGTTATCACTAGAAAGAACCTTTTGTGATCTATCTATAGGGCAGGGTAAACTTCTAATTACAGAACATCTGCTCTTCTTACTGCCCTGCAATGACCTTCCTTCCCTCTGAAGCCCCAAGGTGATCCTTAGCTTAAAATATCATTATTGCTCAGCGGTTAAACGTCGACCTAGGATACAGGCGATCGGGGTTCGATTCCCGGTCAGGGCACATGCCCGGGTTGTGGGCTCAATCAATTACTCTGTCATCATTGACGTTTCTCTCTCTCCCTCTCCTTTCCTCTCTCTAAAATCAATAAAAATATATTTAAAAAAAATAAAATATCATTATTACATCACTTTCCCTTTCTGTCTTTGAACTTCTCATGTACGTAAGTTTTCTGACTCTCATATATGTGGAGTTCCCATACACATGTATGTATTACATTTAGTTATTTTCTCTTATTAATCTGTTTTATATCTATTTGAATATTAGACCACCTGGAAGAACCTTGAAGGTGGAGGAAAGTTTCTTCCTCCCCCACAGTGCACTGAGGGAAAAGAGCCCACTGGTCCTTCCTCCCCTGGTCAGGTCAGTTAGGCCAGGGCAGCGGCCAGGGCAGACCGGCTGTGACTGTGCCTCACCTGAAGCAGGCATCCACCCGAACCATGGTCACCTGGAGAGCCTGGGCAGCTTGGCTAGCACACAATGTACTGATTTCCCTGCCTTTATTCGATGGGGCCAAAGGGTATTTTCCAAAGCAATATTCTATAATTCCCTACTTCCTAACAATAATGATCATTTTAATTAGTTACCAATAGAACTTCTGTGGATTTATGGTTTCAGCAAATCAAGTTTTAATCTTCTTAAGCATTTAATTACTGGCATTTGAAAGGCATTAGATTGTGAGTAATATTCTCTTGAAATGAGATTGGGTGAGGGCAGGGAAAGAAGCTGTCTTTTTAAAGTATTGCTTTTCTGAAATTAGAAAAACCCAAAATGTCAATGGGAAAGTTTACCAACCATCACTCTAGGGAAATGAGAATATAGTTACCTTCAGTGTACTTGTCAAAGAGGATACTGAGTAAACACATCAGTTAAAATGCTCATAGTAAAAAAAAAAGAATGTTATGGTCCAGCTGGCATGGCTCAATGGTTGATCGTCCACCTATGAACCAGGGGGTCTCAGTTTGATTCCTGGTCAGGTCACATGCCCAGGTTTAAAGCTTGATGCCCAGTGGGCGGCGTGCAGGAGGCAGCTGATCAATGATTCCCATCATTGATGTTTCTCTCTCTCCTTCTCCCTTCCTCTCTCTGAAATCAATAAAAAACATATTAAAAAAATGTTATGGTAAAATTTAGTAATATATGCTTAAAAATGACAAAGTATATATCGATATCTGGAGAACTATTTAGGAGATGACTCAAAGAAGCATAAAATAATTATTTCTAATATTTCTATTAATACCAAACTAAAGATTCGTACTTCATCAAATACCATTTCTCACACATGAGCCATCATTTCTATCAATAATGTAAAACACATGAGTTTTCTGTTTTCGTAGGGCACTTTATACCAAAGGGCTAATCACCTGAAAATAGAAGGCTCCTTTTTCTCACCTGAAGTTTTGTTGTGAAACTGCAACCCATTTAAAAACTAAATAGCTTAGTCTCAGTCTAAATTCTTATGAAATCTCCATTATATAAATGTTAAATGCCAATCTGTGAGGGGCAAAAAACCAGAAACTAATTTTCGACCAGAATTTTTTCCCCCTTTGACATATCATGTCTTATTTCAAAGTTTAATTATAGAAAAAATATGAAATGAGCAGGAGGGGCAGTTGAGCTGTTTTTCAGCATAGCCAGAATGGTAGAGCTCAGCCCAGCAGCCATGCACCTACCTCCTGCCTCTCCACGTCCATGTTCCAGATGACAATGCCACCGTCACTGCCGCATGAGATGAGCTGCCGCGTGTGTTGTGCATAGGAGAGGGACTGGATTTTGTCACTGTGAAAGAAAACAAGAGTTAGCCTCACCTCAGGAGAGCAAGTGAAAGCCGTAAGGGAAGGAAGCCCAGCACACTCACTGCTGAGCCCCAAGAGCAGATTTTAGAAATTGGCTGGAACTGTCAACATGCCAACATGTCAACATGTGAGGAGGGTTCTCAAAGTTTAAAAGTCAATATGCTTATTTTAGATGCTGAGGCCAGGCAGTCTTTGTCTGTTACCAACACTTAAGGAGAAATGCTGATTGATAAATTTGTTGTAACATCTTACTGGTCCTTTCCCTAACTGATTAAACANGTTACCAACACTTAAGGAGAAAAGCTGATTGATAAATTTGTTGTAACATCTTACTGGTCCTTTCCCTAACTGATTAAATAATCATATGACACATGTTCATGTTATACTTGTTCAAGAGTCATGATTTTCTTTTTAAAAATGTGTNTAAACAATTATATGACACATGTTCATGTTATACTTGTTCAAGAGTCATGATTTTCTTTTTAAAAATGTGTCTTTTAAGAATTTTGGAGGTTATCCACTGAGAAGCCCACTGGATTATCCAGACAGAGCCAGGCGAACTGTGCTGCCTGAGGTATGAAACATGCCATGGGTGGCTTTTGCCAGGCATGCCACTTCTTGGCTCCCAGAGTTAATCCTCAGGGGCAGTAGATTTGAGCTACACTGACTCTATTTCTCTAGTTTTTATCCCTCTTTACTGGCTCATGTTTATCTTTCTTCCTACTCCATGCATGGCTGACAAATGATTCCCTTTTGGTGGCAGCCGTGATGGAGAATTCANCTCCCTCTTTACTGACTCATGTTTATCTTTCTTCCTACTCCATTCATGGCTGACAAATGATTCCCTTTTGGTGGCAGCCGTGATGGAGAATTCAGTTTTATGGTGTGACAAGCTAATGATCACTAACAAAAAATTCTAGAGATATATTTTCTGTTGGGTGGGAGAGAACAGGAAATCTGAGCTCTTGGTCATTTTTGTTTGAATATTTTTCTATTTTGAGCTCAAATCAATTAAGAGTTCTGTGCCCCCTGGGAAGAAGAGCAGCTCTTTGAAATCTGGACTGATGATGTTTTGTGTTTATTTTCTACCTGAGGCTGAAGCTGTAGAACTGTAGCTATTAAGCTCTATGTGTCTGTGCCTACAACTCAGAAAGGCCTTTACCTTTTGCAGTGTATGAAATATTTTCAATTTCCGGAACGTATCAATAAATTAGATTATAGCACATTTGAAATTATAAAACTTGTTCTGTTTGGCAAATAAAGGTGACAAGTGCTTTTACAAATTGAATATTCCTAAACTTCACAGAAAATAAAAAAATTGAACCTCTAAAATTTTAAATTTAATAGACTTAAAAATAAATTATTTTACAGAAAATGCTTTCTAACTCAATAAAAATTCAAGAATCCAAGTTCACAAAATTGAAGTAACTCATTGGCAAATGAGACTAGTATGGTAAGTTTTAAAACACAGCTATGTCTTTTTCTGATTTATCAGTGTTAAGTATAATGCAACTGTACGTTTTATTTTATTTTTATTTAGGTTGATTTCTCCTAAATTTATATAGAATTATGGGCCAAATAAGCTAGTATTATGCCTTTAATTTTAAGATTATAAAAAAATGTAAATTTGTGTTCAATTAAACTGAATACTTTTTCTGGTAAACTTTTTATATAAATAGCAATTATGTTTTATAGCATATCAACTTAGAGATAATCCCCAAGATCTTTAAGTAACTTAAAACAGACTAATGATAAGTTGAGCTAGCTGCTTGATAATCATTGGACACCTACCTAGATAATTTTTAAGTTAGAATACTGAAACTTTGATTACAAAGTTTTTGATTACAATATATATTAAGTTATATATATTTGCTTATTTTTCTACAGACAGGCTATAATATGTGAGTCATGTCAATGAATGGGTTCATTTTTGGCACTTTAAGGGGATGAAAAAGTGATGTGTGCGTCACAATAGAAATTTATGTTATGTGTGTTTGTGAGCTTTGCTAGTCTGCTAAAATGCCAGTATATGACAGACAGTTCTTAATTATCTATATCCTAGTGATGACACACAGGTTAGTTCTTTGGTTAATTATTATAATTAAAATGGGTTGTGGAGACTATGCCAGGTTCAAATAAAAAAGAATACAATAGTATAAACACTTTTTATTTTTGGTAGGGAATTTTTATTCTACAATTTTAAAAATTTGTGTTTTTTTTTTTAGCAGCTTTATTAAGAAATGCATGACATACAATAAGCTGCACATACATAAAATATACAACTGATAAATTCTGATCCATGAAACTGTCACCACAAGCTAGATTATGACTTATCATCCCAGAGGTATTCTTTGGTCCTTTTGTAATCTCTCCCAACTTTCCCCATCTCCTCCCCCAAGCAAACACTGTCACTATAGATTAGTTTGCATTTTCTAGAGTTTTACATAAATATAATAATATAGTATGGGCTTAAAAAAAAAATGTTTGGTTTCTTTTACTTAGTGTAATTACTTTAAGATTTATTTTTCTTGTCGGGTGTATTGACAGTTTGTTTGAGTTGTTTTTTATTTATTATTTCTCTTCTTCAATTGATGGATATTTGAATCGTTTCCAGGTTGGAGTGATTACAAAAAAACCCAAAAAACGAAACCATGTTCTTTGGAGTACAAGTCTTTGAATGGGCAAATACATAGGATGGTTCCAGAATAGCTGGATCACATGATAGATGCATTTAATTTTTAGGAGACTGCCAAACTGTTTTCCAAAGTGGTTGTACTGTTTCTATGCCCATTAATAGTGCAAGCTTTTATTCCTCCAAAGCCTCTCTAAAATTTGGTATGATCAGGCTTTTAAATTTTAACCATATAACATATGGAGAGCAGCATCTGATTGTAGTTTTAATTTGCATTTTCCTAATAACTAATGATGTTGAACATCTTGTCATGTGTTTATTTGTATATTCACTTTTGAAAGAAAGAGTAGCTTTGTCTTAAAGCAGTGGTTGTCAAACTTTTCAGTACAGGACCTTTTAACACTCTGAAAACTTATTTGAGGACACCAAAGAACTATTTGAGTGAGTGATCACTATCAATATATACTACATTTGAAACCAAAACTAAGAAATTAAAAAAATATTGATTCATTTGAAAATAGCAATGATGAATCCATTCCATTTAAACATAAATAACATATATTTTATGAAAAATAACTATATTTCCCAAAATAAAATAGTTGGATGACAAAAATTATTTACAAGTCTTTCTAATATCTGGCTGAACAGGAGAGCGCCAGATGCGCACCGCTCTGCATGTGGTACGATGTCACTCATCATGCAGACTCTGGAGAACTCCACTATATACTTTTGAGAGCATAAGGATGAAAAAGGCAATTCTAAAGTAAAGTGTAAATTTGTCCCAGAATATGAAAGAAAAAAAGGACAAAACTTGAAAAGTGAATTTTATTTGCCTTGGTTTATAATACTTGAGCCTGGAAAAAAGCTTATAAACTACATTAAAATTCTGGCATAGCTCCCACAGTTTTGATGGCTTGCTTCCTTGGTTTACTGATTAATTAATGCCTTTGACTACCATGCAAAAAGGTATTCTTTGCCTTCTATGGAATCTGCCTAGCTGGCAGAGATTCTGTGTCTCACCAAAATTATTTTCAGAGCTTTATGTTGACCTGATTAAAGTCCTTGATTATCTAAAGAAAAAAAGGGACCCCACTTGTGAAAGGAGTTAAGATTTTTATTTTTATTCATTTTCAAATGTTTTGTTGTTACTTTGATAATTTAGACAACCAAGTATTGTTTTTTAGGCACCTGTGCTCCCATATTAACCACTTCTTTTGTTTTTGACTTCTCAGACTAAGCCCTATATTTAAAATTTTATGATACTTTTACACCGAAAACTTTGAGATTTCCTAGAAGGGTCCTGGAAAATCATAAAGATTTGTTCCTTTGCTTTATAAAAAGCGAGATGCTATAAATAACTCCATTTGTTTGCAGTGTTACTATTTTAAGAGTTGCATGGGAAGAGTTGTCAGATCAGAAGAGACCCTCAGTCTTCCCTAGGTTAAGTCAGTACAGGTAAAATGCTATTAATACTGTACAAGTATTTCTGAAATTGTGTATTTTATGGGAAGGCCCTAGAGATTTATGAATGCTCTCATTGCTTATGTCTTTACCTTCACGGGAAATACTGATCAAAACTCTTAGGAATTATGTAGGTATCAAAATAAAGAATTTCACTCTCTTCCATTTTGATTTTATCACAGTAAACAAATCAACTATTACATTTCTATACTCTATAGATACATTCTGTATTACTCCGAGGCTTACCAGAAGGCTTTGCTATTAGCTACAGGCTAGAAAGGACAATCTCAGAGTTTTCTGGAAAAGGGCTATACATACCAGGTATTTTTAAAACATCAATATTTTTAAAAATATAATAATACCTGATAGTTTAAAATAGCTGATCTTTTTTAATACATTGCTTAGATAATTTATAATCTGTGTGAGTGGACTAAGTCAGGATTTCCTTGGATTTCTAGATTCTTTTAAGTCTGGATGCAGATGTCTTCATGAGCGTGGACTGCTAAACCAGGAACCAGCAGAACAAGAACTAATTATACAGGACAGAAGGAACTGAAAAGGAAAATCTCACTGTTTTCTGGAACACTGCTAATGTTTTAATGTTCTATTTTCTGGATATGTAAGGATGCATTTTCTCTTAATTTCTATGCTAGCTCTAACCTACAATTTAGTAAACTCTGCTTTTATAAGGTAATCAAAACACTTAAAAATGATATCCAATTCTTAGTGGTCTCCTAGAATTAATAAAAACTGAGTGCTCTTAATTTTCATGGCAATATAGTTATTTCATAGGGTCAGTTAGAATCTATCTGCAGGATAGAACGGAGACACCAAGCCCTTACCTAGAATATCATATTAGAGAATGATGCTCATTAATCAGATACGACTAA